TATTCCGGGGGGGGGGGTAAATCTTGTCGGCGTTTGTGAATAATCCCGAGGTCAATCTGCAGGTTCTCCGTGAAGTTTATTAGGGGCGATAGAGAGAAGGGCGGGAGGGGGTGCAGTGAAGTCGCGCTCGCTCTCTCAGATCTTACTCCGGCGAATTCGGCTGCGGAGAGGCGCGCGCGAGCGTATCTATATATCCGAAGTTCTTCCCCGAGAGCACTCGAATTAGACCGGCACGTTGCAAACTCCACTATGAGATACTCTTCACAATGAGACGGCTTTGGAGGGCCGCTGATCCCGCGCGGATTAAAACGGAATATACCTTTGCGATGCCCTAATGCCGGGGTTATCAAATTCGCGCATTCTAAAATCGCATATATCCGCCGTAAAGCCTCCTGCGAGCTCGTTTTTCCGACGGACACCTTCGCGTCCGGATCGAGAACTGAAAAATCGCGAGAACCGTGTGTTCCATCAGGAGCGCGAGATCCGAGTCGGAAAGGTCGTGAATTTTTCCCGAATCCCGCTGTAACTCGCATCTTTTTCCCCTCCCCTTTCCCCCTTCCCCCCCTCTTTTTCTCGTTTTCCTTTTATAACTTCACGTTAATCCCAAAGCTGCAGTCCGATACAATTCCGCGTTCACCTGTCGCGCGCGCCCCGCCTGACGTCAGTCCGGATGCGCCGGGATAATTGCAGTTCGCGCGAGTGCCTCGTCGAAACGATCGGCGGCGGGATGGGAGATCGATGGGGCGAGGAGATAGAACCTCGCGGAGAAGGGGTGAGGGACGGACGGGGGAGGCGGGAATAAAAAGGTCGGGTGGATTTTGCAGCGCGCAGTTTTCACCTTTGAGATTCCATCCGGCGCGCGGAGGGCTGGTGGCCGGGGGTGAGTGGGTGGACGGGTTGCATCCGCGTCGGCTGGGGCGCTCCAGCCTAGGAATTCAAGGACCCGGAGTATGAGTAGGGGTCCGGGAGGGCGCCGGCTGGGGGTGATGGCGCGGCTAACCCGGTTCGATATTCCGGCGAATATCGCGAAACGGAGGAGAGCGGTGGAGGAGCGAAGTGACGACGAAAATGAGAGGGGAAGAGGATAGTGTGAGGGAGAGAGAGAGGGCGAGAGAATGCAGGAAGGAAGGACGGACGAGTGCCAAGGCTCGAAGGGGAAAAGCGCAAGAGATACAAAGAACGCGAGACGAAAAGAAGGGAGACGAATGGACGGAGAAGAGAGAGGAATGCGCCGGGTGCGTAGAAGAGAGGCGAGACCAGAGCGAAGGCTGAAGAGAGGAACGACGGATCGACGAGAGTGAGAGAGACGGAGAGGAGGTTCGAGGGTTGGTAGCGGCCCAGACCCGGTCGATACGACCACTACCACCAACATCACCACCGCCACCTCCACCACGGCGAGCATCATGCAGGACGTAGCGCGCAACCTGGTCCCTACGCGTATGCACCGATACACAACGGGATCTTGCCGTTTCTTCTTGCCGGCCGTTCGTGACTCTCTCTCTTCTTCTTCTTAGTCTTTCTCTCTCCCCCCNCCCCCCCCTCCCTCTTTCCCTTCTCTCTTTCTCGCCTCGTATATTTACCTCACTTTTTTTCACCCCTCGCAGCACGCTCTCGAGAGTTCGCCATCTCCGAGAGGGTGCGAGCTGCCGTCTCCTCTTCGACAGGTTCATTTCTTCGCGAGAACTTCGACACGCGCTTATTATCTTTTCTACTGCTGGAAATAGACAAGCGGACGAGCGTGAGCGTAACTTTAATTTGACGTCATTCGTCGTGTCGTGCGTGTCAAACGGTGCAATTACATCCGACGGGTCTCGCGATTATGTGCAATGCGGCTGTGGAAATTGTATTAGAGCGAAGAACAACGGCTGGGTTATTATTTGTGACTAAATGGGAAAAAAAAGAATTAGACTTCCGACAGATAAAAACTGGCGTAACATAAACACAGTATGTTGACACACGGATATATTAAAGACATTAACGCAAACATTTTAACAAGGATCGATTTTGACACGCAAAATGTTTTTTTTACCGTGTAAACGTACACGGAAGAAAAGAATAAGCTCACACAACTAAGAGCCAGGTCTGGTAATTAAATTTCAGTTGTATTACGTGGACAGCTGTGGGAGTTAATTCTTTTTTCCGTGCATCTCTCGCAGATGTTGCGGGATGTTTTTTTTTTTAATTTGATAATTCATAAAAGCAGAGAAGGCTGCAGATCTCTCCAAGTCGTTTCCTAGTTCCACCTGTTTATCTACCAAGAGAGTACCGTCGCAGGTTGTCGTCGTGACTATCGCGTGTACTCAAATCACGTTTTCCTTGTGATTGCAGTTGTTCTCTTGGACACGACGACGGAGGAGAAACTCGACTGGACGAAGTACCCGTTCGGACCGCAAGTCAGCACTTCTGGCGTAAGTACAACGAATTTCTTTTTTCTCCCCGATCGAGCATTCCAGCCCAGGAGGGACCGCATTGTTCGCGCCTTTCGCCAAAAATTCTCACTCTCCGTTCGATACGTAAGAAGGCTCGAGCTCGAGAAAAAGAGTTATTCCCTGGAGTCGCCGGCGACCCACCTCGACCCTCGCAGCGTAAGAAGTATCCGAAAGTAAGTCCCGGAGTCGTCGCTCTTTCTCCGCGTCGTCCCGCCGCGGAGGAACAATTTCTTAAATATCGCGAATTTCCTCGAGAATATTTCACGTGCCGCCAGTAGCACCATGGAATTTCCGTCGGCGCAGGAATTTCGTTCGCGCGAGCAAGCGCGAGCGCGTACGGCATCCTTTTCCGCCGGCGCAAAGGAGAAATATTAAAAATGTCTCAGACATAAATTAAGACTTTCTCTCTCGCGTGCGCGCAAGGTGGTCGGGGTAAGCTCCGCGGTTCAAGAATGGTCCTTCTCTCTCTTTCTCTCTCCTCCGGCGATCGCAACAAAGGAGCGCTTAGACGGAAAAAAAATTCCAGGACTTCCCGACATTTTCTTTCCTCTCCCTCCCTCCCTCTTTCTTCTCTCTCATTTTTTTACCTCGCGGGGCAGAAGTCTTTTGGAACTCGACTGGACCGGGGGTACCAGAAGCACTTTATGGTCTCGGTGCGCCGCGCGGCATACGTGGGCTCCCGCTGGCCGGTGCGCTCTCTGGGCGCCATGTTTGTTTTTCAGTTGTTAAGCGCGCAGCGGGCCACCAGACAGGTTTAAATCAGCCTCTACCTCCCTCCGTCTCTTCTTCTTCTTCCTCTTTTCTCTCACTCTCTCCCGATTCTCTCTGCTCCAGCACCTCCTGCTTCTCCCCCTCCTCCCTTCTCTCTCTGTCCCTCTGCCTCCCTTGCTTCACGCTCTTCGAGCGAACCGTATACACCGTTCTCGGTCCATGAGTCAGTCCGGTCGGGTAACAAATTGCTTTTTGTTTGAACGGACAAATTAGTGATACGGCCGCGCGCTCTCCGGCTCTCGCGAGGTGCCGGCCGAAAAAGCGACGCCCGGTGGTTTATTTAAACGTCGTAGGCACCGGGAGGTGGGGAAGAGTTTCGCGCCGGGGAATACATCCTTCTCGTGACCTCACGTAGGTGTCGGGCACGCGGATGCCTCTCGTTCGGCGGCCGATCGCGCGACGATAAATTGGCGGCTCCGACTTTTGCCGCGGCTCGGCCGACTCGTCCGATTCCTCGGCAGTCATCGTTACCCTCGTTATTCTCATTTCGTTGATTCTAATGACACTCGCGCACACCTGGGTATCTCCCGATAGAGCAAGTTCACGAGTTCACGAAGAAGCGATGCCTAGGTAAAATTACCGGCCACAAAGGTTGCCATTGTTGAAATAGCGGCGAGATGACCCCGATCGCCGGTGGGTGGACGTGCGAAGGAAGTCCCGGGCACGCGCTCCGTGCCGGCGTAAGACGGATCTCGAAGGTGTATCGTGCGATCGTTATTTTCATTCGACCGTCGATAAACATTTTCCTCGCCGCTCACGTGGACGCGATTGGGCACGAAACCGACGCTCGTGCGTGCCCTCATTTTTTCTCTCCTATCTCTCGAAGTGTCGATCATTAGTGTCGCGGCGCTAATCGACCGGCGTAACGCTCTGTTTGAAAAGGTTCTTTGAAGCTGCTGTTGATTTTTCTGGGTGCTAAACGTTCGACGCTCCTCCTGTTCCTCGTGCCCCTTCGCTCGGAAGAAGGATGCGTCGGTGGGCTATGCGCGCACGGGAGTCTGATATTTTTTACTCTTCCTTTTCTAGAGTGACCCGAAAAAGAGCGTTCTCCGTCCTCCGTGAAAACCACTCGTGTTCACTTCGCACCTCCCGCCCCATCTCGCCGGAAGTGCTACGTCCAAATACGCGCTCCCTCTCCCTCTTTCTACCTATCTCTCTCGCGCTGCGTTTCCCTCTCGGGCGCACGTGCTTCTCGTAAAAACAGCCCGCGATGTTAGTTACACCTACGGGCCTTTAAACTCCCTCCCAATGCCGAAAGTCCGTATTCTCGCCGCGGGTTCAGCGCTAAGTGCGGCTGTCTGTTCCCTCGTTGACTATTGACACCGAACGCACCGTATCGGGCAAATAGAGCTCTCACAGACAGATGGTCGCGTTTAGCATCGGACGCGCGTTGTCCTAGCCGCCGGAGCGTCGAGAGTACCAACCGTGGTACTGAGAGACAGTCCACCGAATATCGTATTTCCAGTCATTGCTTATCGATCGTTCACGATCTCCTCTCTCTCTCCGATCCGGACGAAACTCCACCTCGGAGTGCCCACGTCTTCCCGTTTCGTCGATCGATCGTTGGCCCGGCGACAAGATTTGTCCATTGCCCGAGCATCGTAGGTGATGAAACGGGGGGGGGGG